AGTCCTTTGCCCATTTTTTAATTGAGCTATTAGTTTCCTTTTGTTGAGTTGTAGGAGTTCCTTATGTATCTTGTACGTTAACCCCTCATCAGATATATATATGCTTTGCAAACACTTCCTCCCATTCTGTAGCCTGCCTTACACGCTGCTGTTTCCCTGCTGTGCAGTTTTCAGGTTAATGCAATCCCATTATCCTACTTTTATTTTTGTACTTGAGAATAGGGTGCCCAGGAAACTTCTAAGGGCCAGCTCAGGGAGGGCAGGAGCTGCCACGGCCTGACCCAGTGATGGGCAGGGGGTGGGCAGGCAGCTCTCTAGTGCCTGGGAGAGGGGACCCGGCAGGGCCCAGGCTGCCCCCTGAGATCTCAGGCGGTGCCACGGTTTGCTTCTCTCCTCCGCAGAGCGGGTCATGAATCACTGGCAGGAAGACCTCATGTTCGGCTACCAGTTCCTGAACGGCTGCAACCCCGTGTTGATCCAGCGCTGCACCAAGTTGCCCGAGAAGCTCCCGGTGACCACCGAGATGGTGGAGTGCAGCCTGGAGCGGCAGCTCACCTTGGAGCAGGAGATTGAGGTAGGACCTAGTTGGCTGCAGACAGTGTCCAGGCCGGAGGCCCAGCTTAGATGGCCCGGTCACTCTGTCTCAACAGAAACCACTTCCTGTTGGCCAGCGCTGATGGCCTGAGGCCTTCACCCTCAGGCCCCTCTGCTGGGCTAAGGGTGAGAGCTGCCCCGACAGCTGCTTCCTTCCCCTGGGCGTCCATGGGTCTGCCTTGTCCAACGCAGGATGGGGAACTGACAGGGAGGTGGCTCCATGATGCTCGGGTCTAGGACCATAATGTCAATATTTTCAACGTCAACAACAACAATTCAGAGCTCCCTCTGACTTGGGCCCGTAGTGGGCCAGGCATCACATTGTTACCCACCTTGCAAAGGTGAAAAACCTGGTAAAGGAACCACCCTGCAGCAGAACAAAACAAAGAAGAAAACATGGACTTTTTGACTTTCTAATTTGAAATGTTGGTGTCATCTGCTTCTCCCCACCATCCCCTCCCCAACCCCCGCCACCAGCCCTTGCTCCAGCCTTCACCTGAGGGTTGACCCTCTTCAGTTCCAAGACAAACATAGTCTCGGCCTCCATGGTGGGTCTGGCGGGACTCGGCGTCAGCACCTTCCTTGCTGGGGACTGAGCCCCAGGAATGGCCCTTGGTCCCCAGGTGACTCGTGGCCTTCTGCTGTGTCCAGTCACCCATCTTGCTTGCGTAGCTCGCCTTGGGGCCCCAGGCAAAGAGGGATGGTTAGCACCACCTGTGGACAGATCTGCCAGCCCCACCCTACCCACCTGCCTCTGGAGGGCTGCCTTCCCAGATGCACCCCAGGAAAGGCCCCCGCCCAGGGCAGGCAGTCCCCGCCACCCCACTTCCCGAGCCTGCCCAGCCCCGGGACACCACCTGGTCACATGGGCGGCTGACAACAACCCATGCCCCATGCAGGCAGCACATAGCAGCTCCCTCTGTAGATCAATTGCTGGGCGTGTTAACTTGAGTCAGTGCTATAGGTTTCAAACTTCACATCAGAGCATCTTAGGACCTCGAAAGGCAGAGAATCCTCGAACTGAGAGGCACTGAGCAGCCTTCTGCGCATCTGGAACCCCACAGGGGACAGCCTCTGCTCCGGGTCCCTGCCATCTCCGGGGCAGGTGGGTTGTACCCATCTTGGTCACATGGTCATCTTTCCTGTGAGCGATGGTCTGGACACTCAGCTGTGGTTCGGTCCTGAGCAGTCGTCTCACAGCCACCACTGGCTGGAGGCGTCCACACAAGCCACCCCGTCGCCCACAGCACGATTCTCAATCCCCTGAAGCAATCACTAAGGCCCTTATAAGGACGCTGACCAAACGGAGAGGACAGGGCACGGGACAGGCAAGAGCACCCATGTCCACAGCGGGATCCTAGAATGTAGAACGGGGAGATGGGTGGCTCCCTCGCCTTCCGGAAGGATGCCACCGAAGCCCAGAGAGGAGGTGACTCGGGATTACAGAGAAATGCCCCATCGCAGGCCCAAGCCCCAGGCCTCCTGGCTCCCAGGCCTCCTGGCTCCCATCACATTAACTAACCTGGGTCCTCTCATGATTTGATTGGCAGCCGTGCCCTGTGTAGTACTCACTGATGGTCACATCTGCCCTCAAAGTCCTTTTCCAGCCCATCACAGGGGCCCAGACAGCCCTGTGACCCACCAGCCCCCCTGTCTCCACCTTCTTCTCCAGGGAGGAGTCCTGCCACACACGCTCCTGGAACACCCCTCTGCCCTGGTTGGCCAAGTGTATGACCCCCGACCCTGTCCCACTCCTGCCCTGCATGCCTCACAGCAGATGCTCAGAGCTCATCGCTGGTGCCACACGGCAGCGGGGCCCTTCGTGTTCACAGAGGAGGAGGATAGTAGCCGGGCTCTGAGCTCTCGGGTCCTGGGTGCCGCTCAGACAGGGCTCGTGAAGGCCTGTGCAGTGGCCACTGCGACCTCTGCGGGCGGAGTCGTGCACATGCACTTCCCTAAGCTCCTGTTGACCCGACCCCTTCCCCCGCCGCGCACTCCATCACTCACTGGAAACGAGGAAGGCCATTACAGGACAGTCCTGGGATGTGAGGTGCCGCACAGGGAATGCCGTCAATACTATTGTAATAACTATGGTGTCAGGCGGTTCTAGACTTATCCCAGGATCACTTCGTAAGTTATACCAATGTCACTATGCTGTACACCTGAAACACACACACACACATGCAGTCACATGCACACACACACACACACACACACACACAAAGAAGGCTTAAGAAGAGCTGCTTGCCCTCTACCCAAACTCCAAGTTCTGGCCTGACCGGCCCCGCCCGTGCTAAGGAAGCTGGGACACTCAGGGGGGATCGCTTAGAGGATGGGAGCGTAGTCTGGGAAGGGCAGTTTTCTGCCTCCCAAGCCCCAGGCACATTTGTTCTGCAGTGAAGCAGAGTAACTACAGAGAAGGGCGCCCATTAGGAGCAGCCAGTCAGTGATCTCACGCCACGTGGCCCTTCCCACCGCGCCACCAGCTCCGACAGAGTCACTGAGCCACCACTCCTGCAGACCCCCGCCCTGCAGCTCCTCCAGGCCCCAGAGGAGCACCCCCAGCCAAAGGCCCTGTCTTGAACCTGTAGATCCCTGCCTGCCTCTGTAGACCCCACCCCTGCAGAACCTCCCACCTCCAAAGACACGCCCCCTTTTCTGCTCTCCCCCAAGGGTGACCCGGAGTGGAGTTTGCCTGGTTTTGAACTTTATGTGTCTGGAATCCTGCATGGACACTCTGCTATTGGACTCATTGATTTCATCTAAACCAGTGGTTCTCAACCTTCTGGCCCTTTAAATACAGTTCCTCATGTTGTGACCCAACCATAAAATTATTTTCGTTGCTACTTCATAACTGTAATGTTGCTACTGTTATGAATCATAATGTAAATATCTGATATGCAGGATGGTCTTAGGTGACCCCTGTGAAAGGGTCATTCGACCGCCAAAGGGGTCGCGACCCACACGTTGAGAACCGCTAATCTAAACGCTATCTGCTTTCTTCTCATTAAACTGTCCCCCTGGGCGGCCTTTCCGAGTCTTCCTTAAGGAGCAGGAGACTTCAGTACAGCAAATGCAGCCGGGCACTGCCACGCCCTCACCTTGTGAGGAAGCCTCTGCAGCCTGAAGCTCCTGGCGTGAGGCAGCCCCTGAGCTGGGGCACAAAGAACCACAAACCTCAACTCCGCTGGAGCGAGGGGCCCCCCCGGAGGGAGCTGCCGTCCCTCCCTCCGGCCTCATTCCAGGGCCCGTCTCTGGCCGACCCTGATGTGGACACATTTCCTCTCGCTCCTGCAGCAAGGGAACGTCTTCATCGTGGACTTTGAGCTGCTGGACGGCATCGATGCCAACAAAACAGACCCCTGCACGATGCAGTTCCTGGCCGCCCCCATCTGCTTGCTGTACAAGAACCTGGTCAACAAGATGGTCCCCATCGCCATCCAGGTAGGCCCCCGCCCCTCCGTCCTGGGGCTTCCCCCTCAGCAGACAGGGCTCAGGGAGGCAGCTTGGGTGGCTCAATCGAGCCTCCAGGAGCAGGGGCAGCTCTGCCGGCGTCTCCTAAGGAGGAGGTAGAAAGCTCTGCCAGGCGGGCGGCAAACAAGCACCAGGGCTTCCTGCCAGGCAAGGGGAGCGCTGTCCACGGGGCAGGGAGGGCTCCACTCCCCAAGACCCACTTGAGGAATTCCTGGCCGGATGAGCTGTCTGCAGAGACCTGCCCTGGGATAACACTTCACCCCAACCTGGACAGGGCCCCAAATCACAGTGTCAACAGGGGCCAGGCAGGGGAAGCTGTGATGTGAGCGGGTCACTGAGCCCCGGGAGGCAGCATGGAGCCTGGGCCAGGAGCCATGCGGGCCTGGGGCCGTCTGGGGGAGGCGGGTGGGGGTAGAGTTTCATCCCTCCCCTTCCTGGCTGCCCTCTGCCTCCTCACAGCACCAGCATCTGCGACACTGGGAGCTGGGGTCCAGCCAGCAGGAAACAACAGCAGGTGGGACCTGGCAGAGGTCCTGGGGGTGGGCTGCCCAGGGGCCCGTGGTGGACAGGCCGACAAGCATTCAGCAAACAGCACTTTGAGCCGACCCGAGCCTGACATTGGGGCTAGAGACGTCATAGCCACTGATTTTGCCTGGTGCTAACCACATGCCAGGACTGCCCCTAAGGGTTAACCCACACGGTCCGCAATCCCTTATCCTCAGTCCTGAAATCTAAAAAGTTCTAACACTGCTAGGCTTTTCAAAAATTGGCAGCAAATTCGTTGGTAGCAAAACTCGCTCTGAACCAATAGGAGAGGCTATTAAAGGCTTTGTCCCTATCAATGTGAAATTCATATGTCACAGCAGGAACATAATATATTTGATTGTAAAACACCAGACCTGGGTGGGAGAAAGAGGCGTCACACAATGAAGTATGCGCACCGCTAAAGTCTTAACAATCCTACGTGCTGAAACATGTAGCCACCAGGGGTTCCAGGAAGGACCTGCCTCTAGTCATGTAATCATCGCTACACCCCTGCAAGGTAGGCAGACACTATTGCTAGGGACCGTTTACCTCAGAGCGGGAAACTGAGGCACAGGTGCGCAGTCAGAAGCAAAGCTGGGACTCACGCCAGTGCCCCCCTGCCCCCCTGCCCTCCCGGTCCTGGGCACGTTTCCTGCGGGAGCGTTCCCGCCATCACAGAGAGGAGCGCTGTGCACGGGTAAGGGACCAGTGATGTAAGAGGAGTCAGCAGCCAGGAGAGCAAGGAGGGGCCACTCCCCCTGGTGCGCCCCAACACAGCCGGTGCCCCAGGGCCCTCGGGTGGCCTGGGTTGGGGCCTGGCTTGAGGCCCAGCTCTGCCACTTGCTTACGGGCCATGGACCTTGGGCAAGTCACAGGATGTCCCTGAATCTCTTCCCGCTCCTGACAATGGAGACTTTGCAAACTATAAAGAACCACGCAAACGAAGGCCAGAGAGTAATACATTCAAAGTCTGGTTCTGGAAAAGCCCCTCTGAGGCTAATGAAAGAATAAGAAGAGCAAAAACATACAAGATTGGACAGAAGAGAAAGGCGATCACAGATTTTTAAAAAGAGTAATGATGTGGCAACAAACTTGAAAACCTGGAGGAAATGGATAAAAACCAAGCAAAACACAAATTAATAGAAGAAGTTGTAGAAAATCGGCCAATTTCCAGCTAAGCATCTAGAAAGCTGGTTCAGTGTCTGGACGGGTGAGAGGCCGTGTGATGAGCGCTGAGTTGCAGGCGCCGTTAGACAGACGTTGCCAGAGCTCCCGGGCACATGGCCCCGGCCTTGCTGCGAGGCTGGCAAGACCTGCTGCAGCGGGCAGGCCCCGGAAGAGCCGAGGGCACCCACGTGAGAGACTCTGACAACGGTGTTTCATGCCCACGATGAAGAGCGAACGCAGCAGTGTCACACGTGACCCATGGTCACAACCACGCGAGTGTATCCCAGATGCCTCTGTATCGGCCTAATTCACACGCCTACACGGAAAACATTCTGGTTGTACCAACTGAAACTGAAAGGAAATGGAATAACACGACTAAAATTAAAATAATGAAAGAAATTACCTCCATGTGATGAAGTCAGGAAATATTCATTAAAATCAGAAACAAGAATGCTTAATGAACAAAGTAGTTAAACTAACGGAAATAGATACAGAGGACAGACTGCCAGCTGCCAGAGGGGAGGGGGTTGAGTGAAAAGGTGAAGGGATTAAGCAAAAACCAACAACTCATAGACACACAGCAGATGGTGACTGCCAGAGGGAAGGGGGCGAAGGGAGGCAGGAGAGGGTGAAGGGGATAGAGGGTGATGGAGGAGACTTGGCTTGGTGGTGAACACATGTTACAATATGCAGATGATGCCTGCAGAATTATACACCTGAAACCTATACAGTTAAGTTAACCAAGGCCACCCCAATGAATTCCATAAAAATGAAAAAAACAAAAACACAAGAATATCATATCACCATTGTTATTTAACATTGTCCTGGATGTGATAAACAAGAAAATAAAATAATAAACATGTAAAAAAAAAAAAAACCCCAGGGAAGACTAACTATATTTTGGTGGACTTAGAAAACCTAAGAAACTCTAATTTTTTAAAAAGCTACTAGAATTAGTTAATTTAGCAAGGTGTCAATAAATGTACTCCTCAAAAACACCATTAGCTTTACTCCATGCTAACAATAATAAAATATATTACCCGTATAAAGAATGTAAACATCTCATTAGTAATTTTATATTATTTTTTATGTTGAATGATAATATTTTAGATATATTAGGTAAAATAAAGTATTATTAACATAAGCTTCACCTGTTTCTTCTTACTTTCATTACTGTGGTCGCTTGAAAATTTTAAATTCTGTTTGTGGCTTGCATTATTTTTCTATTGGACACTGCTGCTTTTGAGAGGGAAGCAGGGACATTGCCTTCCAAACCTTCAGTATGACCTTGAGGCGCCCACTCGGTGCTGCCCCCGCATGGCAAGCAGCTGGGTCACTCAGCTGTAGCCACACTGAGCTGGGAGGGCGGCCCGCCAGTGAGCCAAGCTCCACTCAGCCCAACCCTCACCTGCTCCGGCAGCTGGAATGCCACTCCCCAGTCTTCAATGTCGTGGTAAATGTCCCCGCTCCAAGCCTGTCCTCTCTGAAAGAGGAATAATGAGCACCTACCTTGCAGACTCACATGACACATGCCGAGGGGTCCTGAAGGTGAGCAGCGTGGTGATGCCGTGACTACTGACATGGGCGCAGCTAAGAGCCAGTGGCCTGGCGAAGGGGAAGGACGCAGGGAGGGGTCCCATGTCAGCGGCCAGACCAGGGAGTTAGGGGCTTTCTTTTCAGGCGTTAGGAGGTGACTTCGTGTTTTTAAAAAATTGGCATATTTCCTTTTTAGAAAAAATATCACCTTGGCCCAGTGTGGAGTAGCAACTGGAGAGGGAAGACAGCCTGGTCTCTGCTAGGGAGGCACTGGCCAGAGGTCTGGGCTAAAGGGACAGTGGCCTGGGACACTGCATCGTGAGGGACAAGAGCCCTGGGAACCAGAGGCGGGTCGGGGCAAGCAGGGAGCCAGGAGCAGGCCCTGAGGCAGAGCCTGGGGACAGAGCATTTACGGGGAGAGCAGAGGAAGGGACATGCAGGAGACCAAAGGCAGCGGGAACCAGGAAGGAGTGAGCGGTGGGAAAGGCAAGAGGGGTGTGGGGCCGGTGGAAGACCCAGCATGTGCCCTGAGCACTGAAGGCTGGTGCCTTCACGCCTTATTCACGGCCCCCGATAGCCCTGTGAGCGGAGCAGATACTGTCCCCTTATTCCAGGTGGTGGCACCGGGGCTCTCGGAGGCTCAGGAAGTTGCCCCGGGTCCCACAGGTAGCAAGCGATGTAGCTGGGACGGGAAACAAAGCCTCCTGAGCCACCTGCTCTCCCCCAAGATCCTCCCAGGATTCAAAAGCCCCTGTTTAAGAAATCCAATCAGAAGGAATGTATGCAGCCCTATGTTCAGAGCAGCACAATTTACAATAGCTAAGACCTGGAAACAGCCCAAGGGCCCGTCAGTAGATGAGTGGATAAAAAGCTGTGGTACATTTACACCATGGAATACTATGCAGCAGTAAAAAAGAAGGATCTGTTACCCCTTGAGACAGCATGGAGGGACCTGGAGAGTGTTATGCTAAGGGAAATAAGCCCGTCAGAGAAACACAAGTATCACATGATCTCACTCATACGTGGAATCTAATGAACAAAATAAACTGATGAACAAAAAGACCCAGAGACATAAACGAATGGAACAGACTGTGGAATCTCAGAGGAAAGGTGGGGTAGGGTGAGTGGGAAGAGATCAACCAAAGAGCTTGTCTGCATATATGCATAGCCCATGGACACAGACAATAGGGTGGTGAAGGCCTGGGGGGGGGGAGTGAGCTAGAAGGGGTCAGTGGGGAATAAAAGGGAATATGGAATATTTTCAACAATAAAGATTTAATTTAAAAAAAGAATCCAGAATCCTCTGGAATTTCCTGAGCAGCCAGGCTTTCCGGGAGCTATGGTTTGGGATGAAAGATTAAGCATATTTTCTCTCTTCTATGTCCCAGCTCAACCAAGTCCCAGGAGAGGAAAACCCCATTTTCCTTCCTTCGGATGCAAAATACGACTGGCTTCTGGCCAAAATCTGGGTGCGCTCCAGTGACTTCCACATCCACCAGACCGTCACCCACCTCCTGCGCACACACCTGGTGTCCGAAGTGTTTGGCATCGCCATGTACCGCCAGCTGCCTGCCGTGCACCCCATTTTTAAGGTACAGCAAGCGACTGCCTCACAGGGGGAGGGGGGAAGGGGGGTTTCTGGATGTGGAGGGGCAGGAGGGAGGGAGGGGCCTGACTTCCCCACAGGCCTGGCTTCGAGGCCAGCAGACAGGGATCCTGGAGAGGTGTTCTGGGGGCGGTAATGAGTGCTGAGCGCCTGCTGGTCCCTGAGGACACGGGCCTGGGGCCTGACATCCCGGTGGCCCAGGCGGTGAGACCCCTTTGAAGAGGCAAATGAGATCAGCATGACTCTAGTCTGAGCCCAGGTGGCAGCCCCCCACTGCCCCTCTGTCCCTGTCAGCACTGACTGTTAGGGTGGCTGCAGGCTAAGAATATTCCCACCTGCCTCAGTTTCCCCATCTGTATAATGAAGATCAAATAGTGCACCCGCCTCCTAGGGTCACTGTCCGCATCAAAATAGTTAACGCATTTAGAGCTTAGAACTGCGTGACGCGGAGAGGAGCTCCACACACGTCAGCCATTTCCACCTTCGTCACTGTCTCCATCGCTGAGCGTCTCCGCTGCATCAGGCGGTGAAGGCCAGGGCCCACCTGCACTTCCTCCCCCAGCCCTCGTGCCACCCTCCACAGCAGACTGGACGGACTGGACGGGGGTGCCGAGGGTCCCTGGGGGCTCCAGAGGGGCCCCGCCCGGCCTCCTCTGAGGCTCCCTCTGCTCCCCCAGCTCCTGGTGGCGCACGTGCGGTTCACCATCGCCATCAACACCAAGGCCCGGGAGCAGCTCATCTGCGAGTACGGCCTCTTTGACAAGGTGGGCGCTTCCCTCCCGCCCCACGCAGGGCGGCCCCCAGGCTGGTGGGCAGCCACTTCCCCAAACCCGCACAGGTTTCCTCTAGGCCAGGCCCCTAGGCCCCGTGGGGGTGAAGGTTGGAGGCTGGAGGCGGCAGAGAGAGGGCTCCCAGGCTCTGTGCCAGTCCGGCTCCTTCCACCTTGCCTGGGCGAGCTCTCCCTTTCTGAGTGCATTGCCTGCACCACCAGGTCTTCCTCCCACGTGTCTCCCTGTCCCTCCCCACCCTCCCCTCCCTACCTCGGGCAAGTGGGTGCAGACCCTGCCTCCCCGCACCCACTCCTCTCCTCTTCGGCACTAGGGACCTGCTGCCCCCTCCCACCCTCTGCCCTTCCCGGCCAGCAGCGCTCCCAGCTCATTTTCCTCCCAGTGGCGTCTTGGTCCCTATTGGTCCCTTACATTCTCCCAGGCAGCACCTCACTGTTTTGACCCCACGCACACCTCCCACGGCCTTACCAAGTGCAGGTTCTCTCCTCCCTCTCCTCACCTGCAGCCTCACCCTTGACCTCCCTCCTTCCCACCTCCCATTAGTGAGCCGCCAGATGGTCCCTAAGGTTGAGCCACTGTTTAGGTTGCAAAAGACAAAACCCAAGTCAAACCAGCGGAAGCTGGAAAGGAGAGGTACTGCCTCATATACCTGGACATGTAGGGGTGCCACCCCCCCCGCCCCCGCCTTCCAGCTGTGTTGGCCTCACTCTCCCACGAGGCTGCCCGTGGCGGGGCCGGGACCATGGCTGTGAGCTCCAGGCTCAGGCTTCCACACAGTGACCACATGGCACGAGGGCAACTCTGAGCAGTCCCACTTGGGTCAAACCATCCCTAGGGACCCATGTCTGGCACCCGGCACCCGAGCCCTCCTTGGGAGATTCTGTGGCCCTCTGCCCGTGTGCGCGTGTGTGTGTGTGTGTGTGTGTGTGTGTACACGTGTGCATGCCTGAGAACACGTGTGCCTCTATCTTAGCTGCTGGGAGGAGGGCGCTCCCTCCCAGAAGGTCTCTCCCTCCCTCCCCTGAACATAGCACAGCCCTCCACAGCTTGTGCAGGGCCTGGGGGCTTGTTGCTGCCCCTTTCTCTCAGTCACAGATTGGTCACCGAGAGCACTCCTTGGACTCTGGGCAGCCTGTGTCCCCATCTGCCAGCTGTCCCTGCTGCCCTCCTCGTTGTGGGAGCTGGCCCCTCCCTCTACAGCTGCCCCCAGGCTCCCCACACACCCGTCCATCAACCCCTTGCACAGAGCCTCCTCCCTGTAGCCTCTTCACTGGCTGCCCTGGCTTCTGGGAGTTAAACATCCCTCCCCTGCAGGCCTGGCCACTGCTCAGCTGAGCACAGTTAGTTACTCCTGGTGCTCTGGGGCCGGAAGCTGGAGAGGGGGTGCCGGCCTTGGCTCACAGCACTCTCTCTTCCTCCCGCTCAAGGCCAATGCCACAGGGGGCGGTGGGCACGTGCAGATGGTGCAGAAGGCCATGCAGAACCTGACCTACACCTCCCTGTGCTTTCCTGAGGCCATCAAGGCCCGGGGCATGGACAGCACAGAGGACATTCCCTACTACTTCTACCGGGACGACGGGCTCCTGGTGTGGGAAGCCATCAGGGCGTGAGTGCATGCTGGGCTGTGGGACCACTCTGTGTGGCTGGAGGGGGTCCTGGAGGAGGAGGGGGCCCTGAGGAGCAGTGGGCATGGGCAGGATGAACCTAGCCAGGGCCTGCACGCTGACTCAGGGACCAGGCACTGGCTTTGCTGTCAGGGCACTGAGGGGGAGGGGGGTATGGGGGGGTTGGGTGACCCTGATGTCCCGGACTGTGAGGGGTAAGTGTCAGGGTCACTGCTGGGGTCCTGCCACGGGCCCGGGCCCAGCTCTGCAGACTCCTAGCTGGGCCCCTCTCCTGAGCCAGGTTCACAGCCGACGTGGTGGGCATCTACTACGAGAACGACCAGGTGGTGGAGGAGGACCAGGAGCTGCAGGACTTCGTGAAGGACGTGTATGTGTACGGCATGCGGGGCAGGAAGGCCTCAGGTAGGGACTCGCCCAGCTCTCCCCAGTCCTCTTCCCTCTCCTCCCTGCACGTCCGAGTGTCCGTGGGCAACACTGGCCTGTGACATTCACCTGAGCACCTGGTGCTGAGGCCACAGTCCCCGAGACCCCAGAATGCCTCATCGGGACATTAGGGGCTTTCTGTGACCCTGATAGCCCAGGTCAGAAACATCGGGACACTAGGCCAAGCCAGTCCCTCCAGCCCTGGTGTGGGGGACCCCAGGGAAGGCTGGGGTGGGGGTGGGGGAGAGGGGCTCTGTTGGCTGGGTGTCCCTCCTGGGAGGCAGGGCCTTAGCGCGCCCGTGGCTCCGCCTCAGGTTTCCCCAAGTCCATCAAGACCAGGGAGAAGCTGTCGGAGTACCTGACGGTGGTGATCTTCACGGCCTCAGCCCAGCACGCAGCAGTGAACTTCGGCCAGGTGGGCAAGGGCAGGGCCAGCCCTCTGGGAGGGAAATTGCCAAGGTCACCTTGACCTTGCCCCCTACTGACCTGCAGTCTCCCAGCCAGCCAGCCAGCCTGTCAGCTAGAGGAAGCCAGGTGGACCTCAGGTGGCCTCGGGGCCGAATCGGGTGTTCCCACAGCCGCACGAGGGGGCTGCCGCCTGGCTGCCGGGCCCTGGGGGAGTGGGTGGGTGCCCAGGTGGGAGGCGGGAAACATGGTGGCAGCAGCTGCATTGCCTGTCTGTGGCTCTCCCTGCAGTATGACTGGTGCTCCTGGATCCCCAACGCCCCCCCAACCATGCGGGCCCCGCCGCCCACGGCGAAGGGGGTGGTCACCATTGAGCAGATCGTGGACACACTGCCGGACCGAGGCCGCTCCTGCTGGCACCTGGGTGCCGTGTGGGCGCTGAGCCAGTTCCAGGAAAATGAGGTGAGGCCGTGTGCCCTCCTGGTGGGCAGGTGGCCCCAGGTGCAACCCACTCCTCAACTGCGGGGCTTTGTGATTCAGCCTCAGGGTGGCCCCCTGCCCTCCTGGGTCCTCACCTTCCAGGAAGTGGCCCCTGAGGTCCTCAGGCCGGAGGCACGGGGGAGCTGGGCGGCTGGGCAGACAGCGCGGAGGACTCTGTGCCACTGGTGACCTCCCCACAAAGCCACCCCCACCGCCCCAGCTGCAGACAAAGTGCTCTGTGTGGGTTTCTCTTGCCCAGAGGCAACAACTAAGTTTCCTGGGTCTCCCAGACATGCCCGTGCACATGCACCTCGCTTAGCCGAGACCCAGAGCTGGGTACTCAGCAGACACAGCCCCGGCCATTAGCTGGTGCTGCACAGGCGACTGCCTGGCCCAGACCCGTGGCGGTCACTTCAGGGCATTTGCTATGCTTTGGTCCCTTGCTAATGTCTATGGATACGTGTCTTTGCACGTGTGCAATGGAATCAGAGGAGACACTCCTAGCAGGGGAACTTCTTGGTCAAAGAATGATGAGACTGAGCTGCCCTCCACAGACCAAATCCGAAATCCCATCATCCGCCTGAGATGCTTCTCGCTCCCTTTCCAGCCCTGAATACGACACTTCCTAGCTTTAACAGTCCAATCGTGTGTTTTTAATATGTCCAGTTCTCATCTGTGTGAGCGTGTCGATGAGCACACCATTGGCAGGGGAGGGCCCGCGCTGGCTCCTCTGCTCGAATACGACACTTCCTAGCTTTAACAGTCCAATCGTGTTTTTTTTAATATGTCCAGTTCTCATCTGTGTGAGTGTGTGGATGAGCACACCATTGGCAGGGGAGGGGGCCAGGGCTGCCACCTGGAGCCTAGACGGGCAGGCGGGGTGCTGGGCAGCACAGGCAGGTGGGACTCCACGGCCGTGCTGGGACCAACAGCCTCCACACCTACCTGCACCGTCACATGTCCTTACAGCCACCCGGAGCAGGGCAGTGATGTCTGCCTTCTGTCTGTCTGTAACCCCACCCCCTCCCCGGAGGCCTCCTCAGGGAAAGCAGGAGGGAGGTGGCATTCGCCGTCTCAGCATTCTCAGCAGCGGGCAGAGGGTGACTCCCAGGGGATGCTGTCCATGCGTGGGACAAGGTCTGTCAATTAGCATCGCTGCATTGCAGCGTAACCTGTCTGTCTGTCTGTCCCGGCTCTCAGCTGTTCCTGGGCATGTACCCGGAGGAGCATTTCACTGAGAAACCCGTGAAGGAGGCCATGACCCGATTCCGCAAGAACCTCGACACCATCGTCAGCGTGATCGCTGAGCGCAACAAGAACAAGAAGCTGCCCTATTACTACTTGTCTCCAGACCGGATTCCCAACAGCGTTGCCATCTGAGCGTCTCACTCCAGGTGGCCGCCCGTTCCCGGTGTTGTTCGGCACCCAGACTCCAGCCTGTTCGGCTGGGGAGGCTCCCGAGGCGGCCAAGGGGCAGGCCTCCTGTCATCTCTCCCAAGCCCACCAGGAGTCCTGGGGATTCTGCCCTCAGGCCCCAGGCTCACTGGCTTCACACCAAAGGCTACCCAGGGTGGGCCACAGGATAGCTAAGCTTCGGTGCACATTCCTTTTTTATTCTTCAGTCTTGAGTGAAGCCCATAGTCTGATCAAAGAGGCAACACTGCAGGGACCCCTCCTACACAGAGTGAGATGGTGTGGCCTCTGCCCGACACCTCGCTCAGCACTTCTACACCAGCCAGTCAGGATGACTGATAGGGGCTTCCTGTTGGAGACATGGAATGACTAGTTTCTGTTCTGTTTATGCTTAGTTCCATTTCTTGCGTGTGATACATGCCCAAGTAAAGAATTGGTTGTCACAAAAACAAAATGCATTTAAAACAGGTTTGCTTCCACATGCTACATTCCAACCAACTCAGACATC